TTTATAGGCCAACATTCATTGAGAGCTATGCCTGTCTCTTATACACATCTAGATGTGTATAAGAGACAGATTTTCCCCATTTTTTTCTCTTTTTCTTTTTTGGTCAATTGGGTCTTTAATAAGTCCTCTTCCCACCAGCCGGTGCCAAAAAACTATAATTTTACAGTAGAGTAAATTTTTTTGAAATATTGTGCAACTTCAGGAAAACAGGGGCTCCAGAATTATTAGAGTACAAAGCTTCAGAATCGATAGAAAATCTGTAGTTTTCAGGTAGGAGTTTTAGTAAAATTCATAATTATTAAAATGGATAAGAACAATCCGTTGGTATTTGGTATCTGGTACTCAATAAAAGAAGGTATTTTCAAATCGCATGCCTGGCCATAGGTAACCATGCAAACTGTGTAAGCAATCAAAACTTGAAATGGCTAATGTGGATAGGTGGTTTGCTCTTTTATATAATAAAACAAATACAGCATGGGATTATTCGGTAAAAAACTCAAGAAGTAAAATTTACTACTTTACCTCAAACCATGTTGTACTTCTATATTCACTGCTTTTTTCTTGCATAAAGTAGCCTTAGATCCTATAGATCTTAGAGCAGGATTTAAAAAAAACAGATTTTTTAAATTTTCGTTTGTGCAAGTTTTTCACTACCTAATAATAACAGTGATCTTTTATCACTAGAACTTTTTAAATGTATTTTAAAGTTTTATGTATTAACAGCATGTTGTTCGAAGATTTGTTTAATTTAAATTTTAGATATTAATTAGAAAATGTCAAAGTTACAGGACTTTTTCTCACAAAAAAAAAAAAATAACCCCACTCCCAAGCCTCATAATAAAACTTATTTTATGTAGAGCAGCTTGTCTGTACATTTGTGTTGTTAAAGGCATTGCCACCTATAAACAGTGACAGGTGTCAGAGGGGACAACTGGGGGGACAATTGGACCCAGTTGTCATCCCTGATGTTAACATTAGGTTCCTAGACCAACAATATTAATTTGCCTATAGTTAATGGATTGCCAATCCATAATATTGTGGTCTAAAAGCACAATTTTGGACAATACTAAGCCATAAAAACTTTCCCCACTAACCCTACTAGGAATTGTTATTCTAGGGACAGTAATTAACCACTTCTGGAGTATAAGTGGGTACTGTACATTGCACGTCCGTGTAGCAGTGAATGTATTTAGTCTGCACGACTAGAAATAGTCCCACGGAATGGAGTTGTATAAAACCGTGGCCTGTTCACACACTGTTGTATGGCCGGGGAGGTATTTTCACAGATGGAGAATCTATACCACCTCAGCCCCACTATGGTTTGGGCTGAGGTAAACAAATTTGGGATTATGGCACTTCTAGATGGCTGGAAATTGCACTTCCAAACTTAAAATTTGAATATAATTTTCTTTATATCTCAATTTTTTTAAATTTTTTATTTTGAATAATGTATGGGGAACCCGGGCCGACTGGGCCCCTCTTGAATCTGCTACTGATGATGTTCCTATATATGGTCATGATGTGATGTCATCATTGACTATATTTAGGCATGTCACATGCTATTTATTTCTAGCCGTACCCCCAGATTTATCTGGTTTATACCCTCTTGGGTGCCCTTTGAGTATACAATGTACCTGATGGTTATTTGAATCTGTTCTACCATAAAGCCTCTGTGGCGTAATGGTTATGACCCTCGCTTTGACAGCGAGAGGTCATCAAGTTTAAATTCTGTTGGAAGCATTTTATTACGCAATGTATTTATTTATAGGACAACATTCGTTGAGAGCTATGCTATGCTGTTATCTTGATTTATATATATGCAGTGGCGGTGCCAGCGGGGGGCACAGTGGGCCTTAAGTCCCCAACGAACAGGTCAAGCCCCCACCCCCTTCGGATAAAACTCATCGGGCTGTCAGACCGTAAAGTATAAATGGACCCACACCAAGCCAACACGTCTGTCACAGTCTGAGAGTGCCATTTCTGGCTATCCAGCAGAGGTTGCAATTTTTTTTGTTTAAATCTCATTTGGTAGGGGAACCATCTCTCAGCCCCTTCCCCCAGCTCGGGCATATGATCTCAGGTCCCTGTCAGAGAGCTTAGGCCCCCTCTCCCCAAAAAATACATCCTAGAGGCCATTGTATATATGTTATATATTTAATATGATTTATATTGATTTAAGATTGTATTTGACTAGGGTTTAAATAATTGGTTGATGTTTCTCATTGGCTGTTTGTGAAGAGTGTCCCACAAGCTTTTAGCTGTTAAGGAACTCTATTTCGCCAACTTGATTTTATTTTTTATAAAGAGTTTTAATAAAGATACGGATATAGGCCTATATCTCATGATTTACATACATATATATATATAGACCTATATATATAAATATATACATATATAATGTATATATAAGTGTATGTATATACATACAATGTATACTTAAAATGTCTATTGATTTTATTGTCATTTTAAATATCCATTTCATATCACGTTATTCGTTTTTTATTTTTTATATAATGATGGTTTAGATTTTATATATTATATCATGATTTATATATATAAGACTATATATATAATATATATTTTTTATAAAGATTTTGGATAAAGATACGGATATAAGCCTATATATCATGATTTACATACATATATATGGGGCATTCCACAGTATTTTTTTGTTGCGGACATTACACTTAAGAGAATTTAAAATTCTATATCTAGTAAACCACTGAAGGGAAACATTTTATTTTTTGGTCAATTATTGCTTACAGACTGAAGTTTAAGTCTGTATTAAAAAAATGAAAAAAAATATTATAGTGTGACTGTAAAATCGAATTATGTCCGTGTTGCGGACATTACAGGATTGCGACATGACTTTTGACAACATAAATATAAATCAAAAATCCTGTGCTGTTTCTTGAAATATCGAATATTCCTTCATATATTACATATTTAGATAGTTCTTCTTGCCATACCAAAAAAAAAAAAAAAAAAAAATGTAATATTTCGTTGTATATAAGCGATTATCTGCGTTGCGGACATTACATTTATAAATGTCCCGGACATTACAATTTTGTCTCACCTACAACAGAGCCATAAAAACAAGTGTAAATGAAAAAATAAAGTCAAAATATGCTTTCAAATACAGTAACCATTTATTTCAAGATCAATATCCATATGAGAAAGGCACAACTTAATTATTAACTATTAAAAAAAATTAAGGTCCTTAACATTATGTTTGTCTGTAATAAATTTTGACACCTCATTTTATATCCTCGGCAGTAACTAATATATATATAGCTATGCTACACGATGTATTTATTAAGTCCTTTATTTGAACACTGTATTTACCTTTCTTTAATTATTTATATATGATTTAACAGTGTTAACGGCTACCTTGATTTATGTTATATGCACCTATTTGTTTCTAGCCGTACCTATTGTGTAATAGAGTGTATCTGGTGGTATTTGAATCTGTTC